CAAAATTATCAATATTTGACTTACACTAGTCAGTGTATAAGAAGCACATGAACAAACTTAGATACTTACAAGACACTAAGAATTAAGACTGTCTTGGAGGCTATACCCTGACTAGATAGTTTTGAATGTAATTGTAGTGAAAAACACTGTATTTTCTAACTCATTTTAAAATATTTATAAATTCATTTTCTTTGTCTCAGTGAAAAACCAAGTGAAACAGGCATATATTTAACTTCTGTTTTGCCTTTATTATGCTTTTATCAGGTTACATTCATTATCCCAGTTATAAATGGGAACCACGAGCCCTGAAGAGTAGTGATACATAAGTGGTAAGATAATTTTTCACCTTTTGGTCGAACTTTTCAAACTACATAAATTTCTCCCACATACCAGTTTATATGTATTTCCAAGACTTTTTCCAGTCCAAGTAGATACTCTCTCCTACCTTTTGTTTGTAAGACTGTTTCCAGTCCAAGTAGATACTCCATCCTACCTTTTGTTTGCCTCGACATAGGAAATACATAAATATAGTGATGGTTAAGAAGTAAGTAAAAGCCCACTCCTTACCCCAATTTCAAATGTTGAAGTTCTAAACCCCAATGTGACTATATTCAAAGATAGAACTTTTAGATGCCAGTTAAATGTAAACGAAACCAGAGGATAGAGCCCTGTTTACACAGGATTAGTGGCCTTACAAGAAAAGAAAAGAGAGTGCAGAGAAATGGCTCAGTTGATAAAATACTTTGAACACAAGATACCAACCAATGTTCCCCATGCTGGCAAAGCAGACAGGAAAGTCACTGGGTTCACTAGTCAGTCCATGTAACTGAACCAGAGAGCTCAAGGTGAAAGCAGGAGACTCTGTCTTAAAAAGCAAGGTGGCTGCTTTTCCCAGGGCTGTACTAATCTGAATGGCCTGCATTTGCCAACTGAGGTTCTGGTGATGTCCAGTGCCGAGCTGGAGCAGAAGGCAATGTCTGGGTTCATGGCCCTACCACAGCTGGGGTCTGTGAGGATGTCCATGGCCTGTGATAACACCAAAAGCCATGTGAATGCCAGAGTCTGTGCCGGAGGTTGTCTTGGTGTCCGAGGGCCATGCTGCTGCCAGGACCATACCAATCTGAGTGGCCTGGGGTGCCACCCAGGGTCATGGTGATATCTGAGCCAGTGTTGTGGCCAAGGATCATATCTGGGTCTGTGGTTCTACAGCAGCTTGGGTCTGTGTTGATGTCAGTGGCCACCAGTGATGTCAGTATTACCACTGGGGACCATGGGAGAGCTGGCCATGGTGCCCCTGGCATGGAAGAACTGGTCCTGTCCCTCACCAGCTGCCTTAGTGGGAGAGCTGCCCCCTTATCAGAACTAGTCCTAAAGGTGTAGGCTTAGGAGAACTGGCCCTGACCTTCAATGGCCCTGGGAGAACTGGTCCCCTCCCCACCTCGCTGGCTGTCACAAGCAAGAGCTGGTCCCATCCCTCACCATGAGGGCAAGAACTGGCCCTCAAGGTGTGGGCATGGAAGAGCTGGACCCGCCTTGCCTGGGGTGGGCAGTCCTGTGGAGTCCTAGACTGACCAACTCAGCTACTATTCAGATTCACATCCAGGGCTTTGAGTTGACCTACCACAACCTCTACCCCATCTATGACCTGCAGGAGCATGTGAACCATAGCCTCAGGCAGGATCTCCATGATTCAGAGCAACAACAGGATATCCCAGAGAAGTTTTGATGAGGATCCAGTATTGATGGTATGCCAGAATCCAGTGTTATACCAGAAGCCAGAGGCCTTGAACCAGATCAGTAATTCATTGCAATGAACATTTGCAAGTAAACCTGTTTGGGCAAAAGGGTCTACTACATGACACACTGTTGGGGGAAAGTCCTGTGCATTTTTCAATAAAGCACTGCTGGCCTATAGGGAATCAAGATAGGTGGGACTAGGAGTCCAGGAGGACTCTGGGAAGGAGAAACACAGGAGTCAAGATGTAACGCCATGGGGTAGAAAGCCAGGAACTATTCTCCAGTAAGAGAAATACTTAGATTGATAATTGTGGGGTAATTACTTAAGTCAGAGCTAGCCAGTAAGAAGTAAGCAAGGCCAACAGCTTCATAATTAATATAGCCTCCTGTGTGTTTATTTGGGACTGATGCAGCTCTAGAACCAGGCTGGCGGGAAGGCTTCTCTCAAGGAAAAAGCTTCTCTTTACAACACACTGCAGCTCCCAAGGCCACTGTGACAAATGAATATGCATGTTATGGAGAGGTAGGAAAGACAGAGAAGTGAAATGTTTTACTTTTTCTTTGTTTTAAATTTTCTTTTTGAGGGGGAGACTATAAGGGTGGAGGGTAGACTTGGAAGGGCTGGGAAATGAGTGGAATTGGGGTCCATGATGTGAAGTTCCCAAAGAATCAATAATGAAAATTATGTTAAAAAGGCAAGGTGGGAAGTGAAAGACTGCATCCACGGTTGATCCCTGGTCTCTGCACGTGGGCACCTATGTGTACTTATACACACACATACATGCATGCGTGCATGCACGCACACGCACACATGCACACACACTGTCCACATGCCAAAGATAAAAGAAGGAAGAAGCTTCCTTCCCTCATTCCTTCCATCTCCTCCTCCTCCTCCTCCTCCTCCTCTTTCTCTCTCCCATATGGGGGGACACAGCAAATGTGGCCATGTGTGATCCAGGAATTTATTTAACCAGTACCTTCACTTGGTATTCTGCATCCTCCAGAACAGCAGAAATGGTCTACTGTTTAAGTCACTTCACCTCTGGTATTGGTTTGACATCCTTAGAAGTTAAGCAGTGAACATTGTTATAGAAAATTCAGAAAAATATCTTTCTTTCTCTCTCTCTCTTTCTTGCTCTCTCTCTCTCTCTCTCTCTCTCTCTCTCTCTCTCTCTCACACACACACACACACACACACACGCACATGCACACACACACACACACACTTTATGGATATATTATAGTTCCATGTCTATAATAATCAACATGAATTTCTGGACAACTTTTATTCTGTTTTCTAATTATGAAAAACAAATAGTGGCATAAACTCCATAAAATCAGTGGGAAAACTAAGAGCATCAATAAGGAAATGGAGATGACATTACTCACAAGGATGTATATTCTTGGTCACTGTGACCATCCTGTGGCAAGTCAATTTTGAAAGTTGCTTTGCTCGCCTAAGAAATGGTTGTGACCTCTCCCCATATAACTTAACATTCTTAAAAATAACACAGTATCTCTGGTAACATCATACTAACCTACCCGACATGTACATTAATTTACCCAATTTTATATAGATTACCAACTAGGTTGTCTTAAGATTTTTGCTGTTGTGAGGAATAATGATATATAAATTTATATTTATTTTCTGGTTTTGTTTGCTAACTCCAATTCATATAAATGTGTTTAAGCATTTGCACTCATATTGCTAGAGTGTCCTGTAGGGACAGTGCAAGTGTCTGTGTCTTCACAAGTCAACAGGAACGCTGAGGCTAAATGCTGTGATTTAGACACACACAGATTTGACTGAAGAGAGATGGTAGAGTCTCATATAACTTATCTGTTTCCAGTGACCTATACAGAGAATATTGACAGGTTTTGAATCTTCATTCAGAGCATTTTATTCTGAAGAACGATGTAACATCGTGAATTCTCAAGGTTTCTTGTGAAATTCTGCATGGTTTTGCTATTGGGTGAATTTAACATTTTGGTGACAGATGTCCTTTTCTGTTGGTTCATGTGATTATCAGACCTATGGTGGCATGCTTCCAACTTTCCACTTGTCTATGAATGTTTTAAACATACAAGAACTAACCAATGATATGTTCATTTGTGGCTTTTAATGTTTTAAATAATCCTTTACCACACCAAGGTAATATCAAGATTCAATGATGTTTCTTCTAAATTTTTCTGATTGTGGTTATTTTCCTGTTAACAACTATGTGGATTTTTTCCTGGTGAAAATATTTTCTTCTTTGTTGGCTCAAGATGGTTCTCACAACTTTGTTACTGACTAGCCTTTCGTCCCCCTGTGGTGCTGCAATCTCATTTTAGAATGTACTGTACTCTTGCATGGCGCTCACCCTGCTAAGTGAGGTGCAGTACCTAATGCTTTTAAAACTGTCGTCACTTTATAACGTAGTTTGCTATTGAAAGTGACAGTTACTATTTCATTGTGCTATCATAATTTTACCTCAGAATTATTGTTTATTGAACACTGTAAACAAATTATGGAATTACTTTTCAACCCCATAAAATCATCACACAGGTGTTTTGACTACAGTTGTATAAGACTATTAATTTACTTCATGAAAACTGACAGCTTTTGTGATATTCACTTTTCACAGCCAGACTTGTGGCAGTTTTATGTGCATGAAATCAGATTTTTGGTCCATCAGTAATACTGTATAGTTTTCATATAAGGAACCTACATCTTTAAAATAATGATTTTTGTTTTGTTTTGTTTGGGGATAAATTCTCTTCCACTGTATTTTCTGAATGTCTAATTTTAGTAAACAGAGAAACTATTAATGCTCTTATGTTTAGAGCAGTGGTTCTCAACCTGGGGGCCAGATATATCAGATATCTGTGTTACAATTAATAACAGAAACAAAATTACAGTTATGAAGTAGCAGTGAAATAATGTTATGGTTGGGGAGCCACCACAGCATGAGAAACTGTTTTAAAGGGTCGCAGCAGTAGGAAGGTTGAGAACCATTGCTTTAGATGATTGAAGCACTGGTAGAGTGCTTGCCTAGCATTCGTGAAACCCTGAGATTACTAACACATAAACCCAGCTTAGTGGTGCACACCTGTAATTCCAGCCTCGAGAGTTAGAAGGGTGATCAGAAGTTCAAGGTCATCTTCCACTACATAGTGAGTTTGAGGCCTTCATAGTAACATGAAGCCTCATCTCAAAAAAAGCTTTAATAATTACTGTGAGACATCTGTCATTCAAATGTGGCTGTCCCTTTGTGTTTCAGTTGCTGGATGACTGCACTGCTCGCTTGAAAATGTCCCACCCAGCCAAAGTCCTGTACACCTCAAGTGGGGAGCTCATTCAGTCATGGGACAACATAGAAAGGGATATGACTGTCTGCGTGTCTTCAAGACATGGCTTTATGACCTCAAAAGGTAAGAATAACATTTCTTTTATCAAGGTCTTGAGAAGTTAAAGCATTCAGTCCCTGCAGAGTCTTTGCCTGCTGAACTTTGAACACAGGATGATTTTTAGTAATTACACTCCTCATGCTGTGCGACTCCATGCTTTGAAAGTGAAGTTTAGATCTCTGTGTGCTAGAAAAACCATTGCTAGCATGGTTTACTTTAAGGAAGTCAACCAAATTTCAGTGAGTCTTTGGCCTTACCCAGGCCATTTACAGAAATATTGATACATGCATTTGAAGGCATTTCCTTAGTTATGCATGGTAAGTGAAGTTGCTGTTGACTTCTTGCTATTTGGGTTATTCAAAACAATGCTTTGTTAATGGAATTTCTCAGTTTGCAGATTTCCATTCTTTTGCAAAAGTAAGCATATACTAGTTTTAATAAACTGTCTATTTCCTAATTATTTCCTTTGATAATCAACAAAAATGGAAAGGACTTGTTTACGAAATGAACTCTAATCTTTTATCCTACTTATCCTGAAGAATTTAAAGCCCTTTTCTGTAGGAATAGCAAAATATAATTTTCAGGAAATTCCAAAAGACATTGCTTTTACATAAAGGAAATTAAAAGATTAGGAAGAAAATTACCTGATATCCCTATAATAAAAATACTGCAGTTTTTTTCTTTTAGGAATGCACCATAGCATTATTACTATGTAATACATAAGGTGGATGACTGGAAAGGTTTTAAGACAGATGGAGATATACCCTCTCAAAGTGTACAGTTGCTCGTTGATTTATTGGGACATGGGACACTGTTGGGAGGGATGGCACAGAGCCTGCCACAGCGCCATCCTTCCTTATGGACAAGGCTTTTGCATTCTTTGTGTTCTGTTATATCCCTCTACATCACTGCTTGGGTCTCAGCTCAAAAAACGGTGAAGTTTCTGCCATTTGTAAACACTGGCTAATAGTTTTCTATAGTCTCAAAGTATACATCGTATAAGGGTAATAAATATACACAAGACTTCCTTTCCTGAGAGGAAATATTTATGAATATAAATGCACTAGTTGCTTTTCTCATTGCTGTGACCAAATGCCTGGGGGTACAGCCCATCATGGCAGAGAATGCCCTTAACCAAAAAGAGACTGCAGGTCACATTGCACTGCAGTCAGGAAGCAGAGAGTCATGAAGGCAGATGCTCAGTCTACTTTCTCTTTTATTGGGTCTAAATGCCCAGCCCATAGCATGTGCTGCATTTAAGACAGATCTTTCTGTCTCACTTAACCAAGTCTAGAGACTCTGTCAAAGACAAGCCCAGAGATTTGTCTCCTAGGAGACTCTAGATCTTGTCGTCTATATCTAGACAGTGTCCCTCAATGTCGACCATCGCAGTGAGCACCCTCAAATGATCACCGTCAATGGAAAGTAAGGTCGGGCAGGCACCGCAGCACAGCCCCCCTCCTTGCTCACACATCTCGGTCTTTGATAAGCTCAGCAGGAGCCTCCTTGCCACACAGTGCTTGCTGGGTCTGACTGAATAAAGCTATGTCTGCCTCAGGAAAGCTATCACAAAGGGTATCCAAGTCACAAAGCAAAATCCGGACTGCCCTCCCAGGAGCAAGTAAATTCCCAATAAAAATCTTTTCCAGTAAGATCTGTGAGGTGGTGGAAAAAAGTAGAAATTCAAGTAGTTCTCTCCCTACCATTTTTCTCTTTGCTAAGTATGTCTACAAGTCTGTGCAGACAAACCTTCGTTTTCAAATCTTCAATTTTATAAACACACTTTTCTGTGAAGTCAAACCTGGCTCCCGTCCCATGGAAGTAGGTTGTCCATGTCACTTCATGGTGAAGGATTTGGGGTTTCTCCCAGTTGCCTTAATTCTTTCCAGTGAGTCATGTCTGTTCTAGGAAATATGATTGGTCACAGAATAAAATTTAATTATTCCTTCGAACCTGATTTTGTTGATGCCATTTTGTTGTTTTCATGGAGTAAAAGAAAAATAATCATCTATTAGCAATCTACATTTTCCAAATACTTTAAAAATGAGGAGAAATACTTTTGAATATATTTATTCATTATGAGATGTTTAGCTAATTAATCATCCCACATCTGATATTTTTTCTGTAACGTGCTAGCTAGAGGATGTGTAAGAAAATAAGACATTCTGAGAATCATTTATTTCATACATGATAATACAAAAATTGTTCAGCAGGCAGATGTATTTATGTTGATTTTTTAAAAATTAATTTCATTTGGCAAAACCAACGAGAAGCTTTCAGAATGGCATCATTTTCTCCCATCCTCAACACAATTAAGAATGTTTCTTGTCATTTGCAGCAAAGCCTGAACATGGTTTTCAGTGCTTTGGTTTCCATCTTTGCAGTGTCCTTGGTCTTTTCAGCACACTCCTACATTAGCTTGATATTCAGATGCTATCCTCTTTGGAAGGAAGTCCTCTCTCTCCAGCAGCCCCGACTGCACGCACATCCAAACATTGGCAGCAGGAACATGACGGTGTGAGCACAGCAAGCATGTGCTGAGAAGGCAGGGAGGGAGGAGCTTGGCTGCCTTCTTCACCCCTCACTTCAATTCTATAATTTAGTTCTATAAATACATTGACCTGTCTCTGAGTATACATGTGCTTTTCTTTTAACAGAAAAAAAGCGACTGGTGGAAGTCAAAGCAAATTATGCCAGAATCCGAAGGCAGCAGGGCCCCGAAGCAACAGACATTGTTTTGTCACCCTCCGTGAAGTTGCTGTCTCTCATGCAGCTACACAACTAATTTCAGCAAGAACTTCATATCTTGTACTGTAGTTTATGGATATAGTTATGTGTACATTCACATATGCTCTTTATGGCATGCTAATTCTTTATCCCTTTGAACTTGTACACAGCCTCTCCTTTATTCCCACCCCCAGCATTGAGATTTGAACCTAGTTGTTGAACATAACGCTTGATCAGTGTGCCACTGAGCTATGCTTCCAGCTCAAATGGTTTCTCTTAGAGGTTATTAGTTTCCATATTTTATGTGAGGTAGCATTGGATGCCTGAAGTCTGTTCCTGGAAAGGCAACAAAACCAGACAAATAATGCAAATGGGATTACCATCTTAAGTGAACTTTTTTCAAGAAAATAAAAGCACAACTCCTAGTTATTGAAAAGTAATTTAGAAGGATCAAGGAACATACATATATGTATGTTTGTTGTATATGTATATGGATAGGAAATTGATAATAAAATGATTCCTTGACCAATGAACCCTAAGTTTGACTTCAAGTGGCATTTTCTGACTCCATTACTCTAATTTTTGAGCTTTTGTTAAAATCCCTCACATACCCAATGAAACAGGTGACCACCAAATACACAGAAACCTGTCATTTCTTCTCCAATTTTTCTTCAGTTTCTCAGGTCTCTCTCGGGACACAGATATCACGCATGAGAATGAAGGTGGGCGGTGCCAGTAAATGGTTGGTAATAAGAAGTCATAGACTATGTCCTTACTGCAAAAACAGAGGAAGGATATAAAGTCAGTATTTAAAGAAAATTCATGTAAGGAAGAAGGGTGTGAATGTGTGTGTGTGAAGTCTTAATGTTACTTCTACAGGAAAGAGGAATTCACCTGTTAATTTGTTCCTGGGAAGAAGAAAGAATATTTAGAAAACAAATGGAGATGTCAGTGCCCCGTCTGCCTTTGGTTCTGTTGCTTGAGGGATGCCTCAGGGAACTGCCCTCCTCCCCAACATCCTCCTTACCACTCACAGTTCTGCCACAATGTAAATGGCAGCCTGGCTAGGGGTGAACACACAGAACAGACCAGCACAACCAGGCTCCCACCTCAATCCTCCACTTGAACAGATAGCAGGAAGGCAAAGTATCATTTCTACTGAAGGGGACTCTTGGTAACTGCTGCAAAAGGCTTGGCATTTATTCCCCGTCTGCACATCAGCAGGGGTGCAGGAACAGATCCCTGCTGCCTAGGACACCGTGGCGGTGAAACCTCATGTGTTAGATAAGCAGCAGTTCACCCTTTGGCAGACATTTTATCTTGTGATGTTACAGAAGCAAAGGTGGTCCAGGGCAGCTTTGTGCAGCAGAGGAGGTAATGCTACATGATGTGTTGACCTTGTGTTTCCGTCTTCTTCTTTTGCTAACAAACCTGAAAGAAAACGAGAACGGTTAGGGAACTTGCCCACAACTGCACAGTGAACCATTAGAACTCCCTCCAACTGGGTCTTTCCTTGCAGTGAAATGACTTGACCACAATCCCCATAAAGAAAATAAACATTTTTTATAAGATTTCATGAAAACAAAATGCATTTCTTTAGGTGTAGAAGCACCTATCATTTACTGCCAGGGAAAAGCTGCTGCGCTATGAAAACGGCATCATTCACCCTAGATCAAATGTGCAAATTCCTGTGAAGTCTTCACAGTTACATGGGAACAGGCCTGAAGCGAAAATTGATAATATCACACACCGCCCTATCAAGCACCAGGAGACATCAGGCAAAAGCCTTAAGTGAACTCCTCTATTGCCAGTAAATGGGATGTTAGAAGTAATCTAACAGTCATCAACACATCACATTTTACTAGCAAGGCAGTCATACTTACTGTGTAGATGATAGCTTGCCTAGAATATCTGTGGCATTCATAGCTCTACCTTAGACTAAAACAGTCCAAAGTTCTTAGGATTGCCTCTCTTTCCTAACTGGAATTTAACTGGGTAACAGTTATGACACCTTAGCCAGGACCATAGGAAAAGGCTATTTCAATGCGGTGACTTGTTTTAAGCTTCTAATAAACACAGTCATTTCCTCTGGGGACATGTTTATTAAATTTGAATCAATTTCATGCCTATGTCAGATTTCAGTATTTTTTATCAACTGAAAGCCATTTATTATCAGATACTAAAGCAGAACGCCCAAGGCCATAGCCTTCCCCTAAAACGCATTCCCTGCTGGCTCACCCCCCTTGAGGTGAGCCAGGAGTCAACCACAGACACCTGCATTGGTGATTACTTTCAGGAGAACTGGAATTCTAACAACGTTAATAGCATGCAATATGTTTAAAAGTTTGACACATAATGAAGGTAAATGACTATTAATAACTAAACATTTCACCCGAGTGCTTCCATGAACTTTGTGAGACAGGACTCTCTAGTGCTTCATAGCACCATTATTCCAGGGTAATAACCAAGAGTTTCCATTTTTCTTGATTGCTTATAATAGCTAAATATTGTTTTATGATTCAATAAAATAAAGAGAAAGCAAAACAAAAAAAGGCAAATTTGTTCTCTTTTGACACAAATTCTCTTAGAAACTATGGTCATTGTGTGTTGTAACCTTTGTACACCAACCTTCAGTGACAGCCCTGGTGTGCTGAATGTCACTGAGAGATTTGTAGTTCTCCAATGCAGCAGATTAGGGGGTCGCATCATTTGGGAGGGTGCAATCAGAGCATACAAATCTGTGTCATTCTACATGGTAACAGAATCAGATGCAAATGTTCTCAATTAAACGGAATCTGGACCATTGGACAGTGATGCTCAGTTGTGTCTATTAAACCAATGACTCCAGTTTCCTCCTGGCTCTAGCACACTTTCTTCCGTCCAAGGCTAGGTAAGCAGAAACAGAGAGCAGAAGTTCCACTCTCAACACAATAAACTAGAATTCTGCTTACATGGCATGGTTTGGGGCTATGAAGCCGTACTGCAAAGCAGTACCGTCACAGCTCACTCCAAACTGATGCTGCTAAGAGCCAGTGGACCTTACAAGTAGCAGCAGATATTCAGAGGGTTCCCACTATCAAGCCACAGTATCTTTTAATTCCCACAGACTGCAATGCAAAAGTATCAATAGGCTGTCACATGGCACTACATATGCAAATAGAAATATGGGAGGAGAGAGGAAGTGCTGGTGCCCCCATGCAGCTGAGTGGGAGTGGAGAAAAAGGGTAACTCGGTGGTGATTCTGAATTGAATATACCGCTGTTCGTGGTTCATGAAACACTGGAATCTGGCGGGTTTCAGAAGGGTACTGTGGTAGCTTGAATGTCAATGACCCCCATAATCTCATAGGGAGTGGCACTATTAGGATGTGTGGCTTTACTGGAATGGATATGTCCTAGTTGGAGGAAATATGTCACTGTGGGGGCCGGCTTTGAGGTTTCCTATACTCAGGATACTACCTAAGTCTCAGTCAACTTCCTGTTGCCTGCAAGATGTAGGACTCTCAGCTACTCCTCCAGCACCACATCTGCCTGTACACTGCCGTGCTCCCCGCCATGGTGATAATGAACTGAACCTCTGAAACTGTAAGTGAGCCCCCTCAATTAAATGTTTTCCTTATGAGTTGTTGTGGTCATGGTTTCTTTTCACAGCAATAGAAACCCAACTAAGACAGACACTGACAGCTTAGGGATAGGCGGAAAGTCTGGTCAGACTGCCCGCCAAGGTACTCCCTAGTTAGTTGTAGGGCACATGTGATGTTGAGCACTGACTTCGATGCTCAAGCACGGATGTGAATGCTCCAGGGCATCAGTGCAGTCATGACACCCGGCCAGCTAGTCCGTCTCTCAGGGTCACCACTGGCAGTCCCAGGAAAGAGACCAAAGGTGATGACTCCTGGCCGGCTAGTCCAGATCTCAGGGTCACCACTGGCAGTCTCAGGAAAGAGTCCCGGGTCTCCCTAGTTAGTGCCTCCCTGAGTGTGAGACTTGATCATATCTGTTTTCTTTCTATCACTCTTTCCTCTCTCCGCCTCTCTACTCCTCCTTGCCTTTGGTCTTTTCTCCTATAAAAAACTTCGAGTCTGATTGTTCATTTAAAAAAATTTAAATCTAGCCAAGGAGGTGGCTTAATTGGAAATGTGCTTTTGCCCTCAAAGCACGAGGAAGTGAGAATTTGATCCCTGGAAGCCATGTGAAAAAGCTGGATGTGAGCCATAGCAATGAGCAGCCTGGCATGATATCGCTTAAAGGTGCAATAGTGTTACTTGTATCTCGGCAGTCTAGTTGGATTTACGACCTGCTCAACAGGAGGGAAATCATGCCTAGCACCAGAAACCCAGGCAACTACCCAGGGCTGGTGAAGTCATGGATCTTAGAGAGAACCTACAACCATCACTTTGCTAAACCAGCGTTATTCCTAACTGTGTTCACTCTAGATACATATGTGTGCACAGTTGTAATCTCAGTCCTGGAGAGGTGGAGACTGGGCTTGCTGGCCTGCTGAACTTGCCTAATTGGTGAGCTCTGGACCAATGAGAGAGTCTGCCTCAAAATAAGGTAGACAACTCCCGAATAACAGCACCCACAGCTGTTCTCTGGCCTCCTACATATACATGCACAAATATGCTTGTGCACACACATGAGCAGATACACAAATAAATAAATAAATAATCCTTCACAGACTTGTGATGACATAAGGGATGCTTCCCTAGAAGAGCTATCATATTTTAGTGTACATAGGAAGTACCTGGAAAGTCTGGTTGAACATGCAGATTCCTAGGCCTCATGACAGAGGAGTTATGTCCCTATTCCTGCATAATGCATTTTGCCCAGCACCTGGGAAGAAGTATGGGATGTTGTCACAGTTGAAGAAGCTTTATTAGGAGTTCAGGGTTTATCGAGGAGTGCCCAAGCTGAAAGTTCCAGTCCCTTCCAGACCCTTCGCTGTGTTTGAGGGACTGGGTCTAACTGCCCTTGTGTGTGCTCCTTGCCATTTCCTTAAGAAATGAGGGAAGTATTCTTTCTCTTTTTACATTGGGCTATTGAGACAGTGTCTCTCACTTAGTGCAGTCTGGCATAGAGCTCATTATGGAACTTAGCCCATGACTTCACAGGAATCCTGCCTCAGACTCAAAAGTGCTGGGATTGCATGTGTTAGCCACTCTGCCCATATTTAAATTGTTTCAGTCAAAACTAGCCACTAAAGGTTGGGACTAGACCTCTTTTTTGGAAGGATAAACGGAGTCACAGGCATGAAAGTTCATATTAACCAAGCAGCCTTGGTGCCGATACAGGTGTTATGTTAAAGGTCACAGAAATAATGCCAAAATTATGGGACATACACAAGTAGCAGCATAATTTTGAGGATGGTAAAAATAACTAGTTTCCTACTATATTTTTATAAGAAGAATGAGAGATTTGTAATGAAAACTATTTCTGCTTTCCCTAGTTGAGAGCCCTCCCTCAGTGTAGTAGCCCCTCGGACAGGGAAAGCTAATATTCTATAGTGTTTGCCTGACTCAGTTAATGTGAAA